TCTAAGAGTGAAACAGGTTGGCCTTGTTTTGTCCCAAATCAAGGAATTCTGCTTTGCGTCGGCTTCAGGGCACAGCGCATGTGTGCGGCATGGCCCTGTGGGTGTATAGTCACGGAGGCAACGACAGTGGGTCTGTGTTCCTGAGATGGTTTGCGTTGTTGAAGCGCATCAGGAGCACCTGCGTCTGGAGATGGAAGCCATCAGGCATCAAATGATTGGTTTTCTTCCCCCCCCCTCAAGATTAAAACAGAAGCACGGGAGAAGAAACACAGTTTGGTTTTGTTGCATGTGTCCTGCAATTTGAAGGTAGAAATCTTATATGTGTGTAAGGCCTGAAGGGTGACAATTCTCTCAATTATCGGACCCAAGACAGCTCGGATGAAGCACAGATATATATAAGAAATTTAAGGTTATGTTTTGCCCCGTGGTTGCCTGAAGTCCTGAGAAATATCAGCCAAAATGAAACTGGCTAGTCTTCAGGCTTTTGCTGGGCCCGTTCCAGATTTCTCCTGCCCTTGTCCTGCCTTTTCACCGAGTGTTGCTTTGCGTTAAAAAATTGCCATCACTACGGTCTCCCCTGCTCCCCCCCCCAAAAAGGGCAATTGTTTAAAACTGTGAAAAGACCCCTCCTCGCTGATGGCTAGCCAACTGCCTAAGCTAAATGCCTGGCATCAGGGAGGGGACCAACCTAACATCCATTGGAAGGGTCTCCATTTTCAAGGAGCAGCCACCAAGGAGGCCGTGTCACGGGCTAAGGAAAGGACACAACCCTTCAGAAGACCAACGTACATTTCCTCTTTTGACTTTGTGAGGTTAGAGAGTCTCCTTTTGAGGAGTCTTTTAAACGTTTCTGCTGGTTTGTGTTTAATTTGGGCAAGCTTTTGTGATCCATTATTTTAGTCAGGCGGGCCGATTCCTGTTGGGGGAGGCAGACAAACCAACTGGGTGCCCCGAAGGAGAATCCTGTGGGTCTCCATAGGTTTTAGGGTTTTGTTGTGTCCTCCATTTGGGGTGAATGCCGTGGGACGAATGATGTAAGTCACAAGATGGACACCCCACCAACACGTGAGAACGAGTGACCCATCGTTTTATTCACAGGTCTGGTTCTGATGGGATTCTGGCCTGGTCATTTTAAACCGGGCTTTTGAAGGTGCCTTTTTCACTTCTCCTGAGTTCTTAGGACAAAGGATGGTATGAACAGGATAAATATGAAATAAACACAATTAGATTTTGTTTGTCATGTACGATGATGTACACTGGGGTGACGGAAGGCTGTCAATAGACCGTTTCAGAGCAAACCCAGAAACCTGAGATATAAATCCTCTCCTGTTTCTGTTGTCTTGCCAAAGGGTCTCCCGGTCACCAAGCTGGCGGCCTCTCCAGTTCAGAGAAGGACAAAGAAGAGGAGGGTCCATTTCTTGAGAGCGCCGAGGAAGAAGGAAGATCAACCGGTGAGTGCTTGAGAATGCCGGGATCTCTTTGGGACCGTCCGCAAGGGGGAAAAACCTTCTGGGGGGGGTAGTGGCAGGGAAGCAATGGAAAACCGTATTAGGGTCTACGTGGGTTTTTGGGTGTTTTGATGGCCCCGACCCATGGAGGCATCCGGGAGGCAGCGTGGCCCCTTTTTTATTCCCAAAGTGGGGCAGGGGGATCCAGAGAGTTTGACGAGCTGGCCCTTCCGCTTCTCACCACGGAAAGTCACTTGTGTTGGAGAAGCACTTAGATTTATGATGACCCACTAGGGAAGTGAACACAGGACACAATTCCCGACGCATCCGGGCCCACGAGCGACTTGTGTGAAGCTCCTCCTCACTTTGGACGAGAACGACCAGAATCTTGCAAGACCTTTAAAATCTCTTCATTTGGCTTCAGCCTTTTTGTGGGCTTCATAACGTGGCTTGACACCTGTGAGCGCTTGTGCCGCATGAACTCTGCCAAGCCAAGCTCCGAAGTGCTGGATAGCTCAGGGGCTGATATAAAAACAGGATTTGTGAGTTCGATTCCCCCACTGGGCCTCTTTGAGAGGGGCTGAACTGGATGATCTTTAAGGTCCCTTTCCAACACTTAAGGTGCTGCTGCTGATCCTTAATGAATTACTGGATTGCTTGGTGGTTTAGGTCTCTAGCTGCAGACCCAGAGATTGGGAGTTTGAATGCCCCCCTTCCGGGGCCTCCTTGGGTCCATTCCACCTTTGCAGTTCCAAGATGATGATGACGATAGTGCCATCTTAAACCTGGTCACTTACACCCATCCCACCTGGAATTCAGGCAGAATGTTAAGGCCTTTACCTCAAAGCTCTGGAGCAGAGTCTATAAGCACACTCAGCTGAACTCTGCCTTCACAGAGAAAAACAGCTGGTGGATGTTTCGGCTTAAGATGGTTTGAAAAACCTCTGGATCTGGCAAAGACGTGGCAAATGGGGCTGATCTATATACAGTGGTGCCCCGCACAGCGACGATAATCCGTTCCGGATAAATCATTGCTATCCGGAAACGTCACTATACGGGGCAAAAAAACCCCCATAGGAATGCATTGAAACCCCTTCAGTGCGTTCCTATGGGGGATAAACTCACCGTTATGCGAAGATCTTCCATCTGGCCGCCATTTTTGCCACCTCGGTAAGCGAGGAAACTGCGCGAAAACACTGAGGGTGGCCATTTTGTTGACCCGGTGGCCATTTTGGAACCGCGATAAGCTGTTTTAAAACATCACAATGCAAAGACCCTATTTAAAACATCTCAATGCGATCGCTTTTGCGATCGCAAAATCCGCATTGTAATGCGGATTCGTCGTTAAACGGGGCGCTCGTTATGCGAGGCACCACTGTACTTGTCACCCTTCAGGCCTTACACACATATAAGATTTCTACCTCCAAACTGCGAAGACACTGTTCTTTCTGGTGCTCCAGATAAACCCGAAAGCCAGTCCTATGGAAATGTTTGTGTTAAATGGGTCTCGACAAGGATTTAATCTTCAAATCAAAACTGCCCTTCTTTGGTATATTTTTCTAGATTTTGGTTTGCTTCCCTTCCTAATTGGGTTTCTCTCTCTTTTCTTTCTTTCTTTCTTTCTTTCTTTCTTTCTTTCTTTCTTTCTTTCTTTCTTTCTTTCTTTCTTTCTTTCTTTCTTTCTTTCTTTCTTTTTGATTCCTTCAGCTTCTGGGAGAGAGAAGAAAAAAATGAGGAAGGAGGAGAGAAAGAAGGGGGAAGGTGGAAAAAAGCCGGGGAGTGGACCTTTTCCTGAAGCCGCACATGTTGATGGGCTCCCAGCCCTCCGAGAATGTCACGAGGGACATAAAATGGTGATTCAAAAGAGGAAGAAGGCCTTGAAATCTTCCGATTGCGAGAAAAGCTTCATCCAGCAGTTGTACCTGACCAAACACGGGAAGAACATCCACGCGGGAGCGAAGCTCTATACGTGCTCCGAATGCGGAAAAGGCTTCAATTACAGAACGAACCTTAAGGTTCACCAAAGAGTCCACACTGGAGAGAAGCCGTACGAATGCTCAGAGTGCGGAAAGACCTTCAGTCGGAGCACAAACCTCAAATCCCACCTAAGGATCCATGCGAGGGAGATGCCGTATGAATGCTCGGAGTGCGAAAAGAAGTTCGGCAACCTCACCAAGTTTAAATGGCACCAGAGGGTTCACCAAAAGAAGCTGTTTCCGTGTTTGGATTGCCCCAAGGGATTTGCGTCCAGCACCGAACTTAAGGCCCACCAACGAATCCACACCGGAGAGAAAATTCATCAGTGCTTTGAGTGTGGAAAAGGTTTCAGTCACAGCGTGACCCTGAAGATTCACCAAAGGACCGCACACAGAGGGAAAACAGCCAGCGATTCTGTCACAGATCTTGTTAGTACAAGCGACCCCCCAGAGTCCTAATTTTGTTTTTTGGTGTATCGCATTGAAAGCCGTTTTTTAAATTTATCTCCCCCGCCTTCTTAAAAAAACCCTCTATGTGGTGTTAGCTCTGTCTCATTTTTGCTCAGATGAGGAGAGACTAGATGCTGCATCATCATCATCTTTGAACTGTGGAGCTGGAAGGGTCTCTAAAGGTCATCATGTCCAAACCCTTGTCTATGCTTGGTCAACAATGGATGTCTAGACTCTCCTAGCTTTCCAGTGTGAAGACAGCCTGGAGCCCCTGCCCTCAACCCCTCCAGGTGGCTTGCATTTATAGGGATTCGATCCACTTCCTCTCTGTAATCCAGAAAAGCTTACACTGAAATAAATGGTGTCACAACCCTTCCATATTTGTTTGTGTTGTCTTTATTGCTGGTGAAGGACGGTATGGATTGCACTGAATTATGGCTAAAGGACAAGTTTGTGGAAGTAGTTGGAAGTAATGGAGTTACTGTACCTCTAACTACTTACTGTTTGGGTAACATGTAATATACTAAGCCGTTATGAGGGCACATTTTTGGCTTTCTTAGTTATGCCTAAGTAAATTAGGTGCAACAGGTAACACCTTAGTTGCTTTTTAAAAGTCACCTTCTAAGGCGTTTTTAGGAAAAATGGAAGCGAAATTTGGGAGTGGGAGTGTTAAGCCGTTCTCTTGTCCATCAGAATGGGCGAAGGACTTATTATTTTGTATTTCCAAGATGCAACATTATAATTGGCCACTAGGGGGAACCAGGGACTGTTTTGATTATTATTGAGCAGTGCTGGTAACCACCCTGCAGAGCGGAAATCTGGCTGCTAAGAAATAATGCATAAACTGAGCTGGCTGAGCGCAGTGCCCCTTTTTTGTGACTTGGCTTGTGCCCCGCGGGTGCACCAGAAAGCCGCTTGTATTTCTAAGATGCAATATTATAATTGGCCACTAGGGGGAACCAGGGACTGTTTTGATTATTATTGAGCAGTGCTGGTAACCACCCTGCAGAGCGGAAATCTGGCTGCTAAGAAATAATGCATAAACTGAGCTGGCTGAGCGCAGTGCCCCTTTTTTGTGACTTGGCTTGTGCCCCGCGGGTGCACCAGAAAGCCGCGAGTGAGGGGAGCGGACCAGGAAGACGGCCGACAGTGGTTGTGCCATCTAGAAGGACTCTTAAAGGGGAACAGCAGGAATGCTACTCGTGACCCACCTTCTTGCACGTGGCCCACCCAACGGTTGTATGTGGCCCCAGGGAGAACGCTGGTGGTGAGCCTCCCAGAAGTGCCCATGCTGTGACATGGCAGAGAAACCGCACTCTCTGGTCTCAGCTCCTGGACCTTAAATTTTCCAGGAAGGGCATGTTGTTAACCTGGCAAAGCCTATCATCACATCGAGGGATGTTGGCTTTGCCAATGAAAACAGTCCCTGGTTCCACCTAGTGGCCAATTCTGATGTTGCATCTTGGAAATACAGAGGCTCTGAGACACATTACGCCATTGGGATCGAATGTCTCATGTTTGGCTGATGGTTTGGGAAAAAGAGGAGGAAGGCTTGCTGGTTAGGACATCTGGGGCTCTGATGGACTCTGGCTGTTCAATTAAAAAACAAACCACCTTGTCTCTCATTCTGTCCCCTTGCTCTCCATGTATCCTGCTGCTGAAATAAACCTTCCGTTGCTAGCAGAGATCTGAGACCTCCAACCATTCCTCTTGTCCTTTCATTGGGGTTAGGTATCCCACCGGCCATATCCTGCACCCTTTCCACTTCCTCGTGCGTCAAAAATGGAATAAACCCCGGAGTCTCCTTTGGCTCCGAGCCACGGATGGGTTTAGAAGTCCCGGCACCGATTTGATTCAAAACGAGGGTCATTCTTCAGCGGAGCGAAACCCATGTAGGGGCTGTGGCTGTTGCTTGCCACCAAGTCTTCTCTGTCATAGGGCAACAGCTCTTGTAAATTCTGGCTTGTGAGATCCTTTAGGGCGTCACCCATCTTGTGTTTTCTCTTCCTCTTCTCCTGCTGCCTTCTTTAGCATGACTTTCTTTTCCGCCTAGCCTTGTCTTCCCCTGATAATTGCCTTCATGGCAGGAGGAAGGGTGACACCACGCTGGCCGTGGAGCAGTTGCTATTCCTCAAAGTAAACCTCCTGCACCTCACACACTCCACGTTCTGCTTTACTTAAGGACCCCAAAGCTGGCCAGCTTCCTGACTTGCCAGCTTGCCACTTCTGCTGATTTGGCGGAGTCTGGATCCAGGTAATCTCTAAACCCTTTGCGACTGGCGAGCAGAGGCCCCGTGATGAAATGAAACCCAGAGGAACACCCCTATCTCTAGGCTACCTGCCGGACCCCCTTCTGCCCCCAGAAACCATGCCAACTGGCCTCTGTGAGGATGCAGGCAAGAGGCATGTGCTCCCGGATGAGGAGGATATGCCTCCTGCAGAAGGTGCCTTCATGAGAAGGACACATCTGGCCCCAAAGCCAGGCTTGCAGGAGGGACACTGTTATTGCAAATGTCCACATCACCCAGGTTCTCCATCCCCGGGGCCATTGGTGCTTTGGAGATCCTGTGGTCACGGCAGGTCAGGGCTGTGGTGGGGCCAAAGGAAGGCAAATAACTCACAGAGATTGTGAACATGATTCTAAGGGAAAGGATACCCACTTTGCTTTTCCCTGCAGGAGGGCCTTCTGCATTCCAACGAGGCATAAGTGGTACTAGCTTTTTGCTTCTCGAAAATAGAAGGGATTCTTTGCAAAGGGTAACCATCTATTTAGCTGGCTGTATTGTTCAGCTGTCTAGGTATTTGACTGGGGAGTCAGAGGTTGGGAGTTTAATTCTCCACTGGGTCTCCTTGAGAGTAGAGCCAGCCCTGGGTGGCCTCGAGCCAGCTGCACAGTCCCAGAAAATGCCCCCAGAAGAAGGGATTAGGACTCTCCACCAAGGAAAACCTGAAAAGGGTCACCATGAATAGACTTAGTGGCACATGGTGGTGGTGGTGGTGGTGGTCAAAAATGGGCAAGAAATGGAGAACTAGAAGGAGACACTCTGTTGGGCCAAACATGGTTGTGTTGCCCCATGAATCCAGAAGAATAAGAGGGGAAGCGCAGATGGGAATGAAAGCCCAGAATTTATTGGTACACCGTGGAACACCAACTCACACAATTCGGCAGTTGAAAATAATGTCGCAGGAAGTCATGTAAACACACATACACACATGTATAAAAATGCAAACATACAAAGCAAGAGAGAACGAGCATCACGGATGTCAAATTTCTGTTAAGCTCAGACCACAAAACTGGACTTTAAGGCAAAGCAAATGATGGTCTTCAAAATCGTGAAAATGGTGAAACACTCACCAGGGTGAATCTAGATGTGCACTAGCTGGATAAATTCCCGGGCTGTTCACCAGGTATGTTAGAAGATTCAATTATCTCGTAAAAAAAGGGGGGGGACCCCACACAACCTAGAGTTTAGAAATGTGGGGTAATGTACTCTGCATCCATGATTCACATAGCTAGGAAGTGGTATGATATTGCTTCACAATATTGTGCTGGTGATGCCAGCAGGAAAAAGGATGCCAAACTTTACAAAGCAAAGGGCAGCCTGAACGTTGACAGTACCAATGGCAGCCATCAAGATGGTGTACGTGATACCCTCTTGGGTTCACAAAGTCACACCAAGCAAGGGGAAATCCCAGAAGCTGACATCCTTTTTTCATCAGATAATAACTTCTCACACAAACACAAAGTGATTGTTCAGGGCTGGTTTTTGACAAGTGTGAGTGGTAGTTCAAGACCGTGTCCCGTAGACCATCCTGACTGCTGCCGTTGATGGTGTCATCATTCTGGTTTCCCTTTGCTATCAAAACCTTGAAATCCTTTTTCCTTCTGGCAGTGTGGGCACAACATCATACATCAAAACTGGGCTGTTTCCATTTGAATCATGGATACAGAAGCACAATATCCCACATTCATAAACTGGAGGTTTTCTGAAGTACTACAGGAGCTGATTTTCCCCTTTGAAGACTTGTGTCAGGAGCCAGGTGTCAGAGAACTTGAGTTCACTGAAAGCACTCAAGACTTGGATAGACACAACTGCTCTGTGCTGTTGTGATGCAGAAAAAAATTGAACATGCCTAAATTGTGTGCTAGTTCCCTGGAGACAAATGGCAAAATCTCCCCTTTTTGGAGGACCATCACTCCATTACTTCCATTAAAGCAAGCCTGTGACCTTTCATTGACTTCCAAACATCTTTGGAACACATGCTGGTAAGCCTGTTCCACACATGCTCAGTCTTATAACAAAGTGGTTGTTTTTCCCTTTTCAAAGGTTGATTATTTTGAGAATCAGTAATTCAACCCCTGCAGCCTAGATTCCTTCCAAATAAAAAAAGGAGTGTGAAATCAATCATTTTCTTTCCAGATCAGCAAGACTAGTGTTTTGAAGTTATTTTATCTGTTTTAAATCTGGGGACATTGTTGCTTATTTCTGCATGGAGGAAGGTTAAAAGTTTTACATTTAAAAAACCATAACTCCAAAAATGTTTGCCCAAATTTCCACATATTTAACACAGAGTAAGAGCAGACTGTCTGCTACATCTGTGCTAAACTTGGTGCTGATCTGAAGTCCGGTCTCAAAGATA